GAAAAAAAAAAGAAGAAATACCGCAGAGCCTATTTTTGACGGCAAGTCTCAATATATCAATAAGGAACTTGGTTGTCATAGTGAATGCATAGCCGTTTAGCATCAGTCGACAGAAATGACATTTCCGGTATGGCACGTGCCCCTGTAAGTCGCACACGAGTGAAATCATGAATTTCCTTGGTCACGTGTCAACATGTTCTTTGTTTGGAAACAACAACAAATTGTAATCAAGCATGAAAGTTTGCATATGTGATATAACAATCAAACTTAGATTATTTAGATTAGATTGTTAACTATCTGGTTCAACACATTGTCACATTGACGAGTATCAACGTTCAAATAAATAAAACTTAAAATAAATATGGATTTATCGAAGCATGACACCATGACATAATATATCAACATGTCTACCTGAAACAAAAACTTATTAACATTTTTGAAGTCTGATTGTTAATTCTAGGTAGTGGCGAATTCAAGGGCATCCCCCCCCCCCCTTTCTACATTTATCAAAATTAAAAAGGGGGAAAAATATAAAAATTAAAAATTATATCTTTCTTTATTCTTTATTTCGTGACCGGTAAGGTCAAATTGAACGTTTATTACAATAGATATCAAAATTACAACATGACAATATAAGTCAAATATTAAAAAAAAAATATTCAAATTGTGGCCACCACTTGTGGCCACCAAGCAAAACTTCGAAACGTGTCGAATTACAAATGAAGTAAATGATAACAATTGCGAAATATACACAGTAAAAGACTTTGGAGCAAAAAATAAATTAAAAACAACAATCAAAAAGCAGTGTTGTTAAAATTGGAAAAAATAATAATCATCATCCACTAAGGAGCTTCACAATTTTTGATCAGCTCTGAAGTTGTTGACTCAGGCACGTGATTTGGAATCAGCTTCCACTTAACATCCGTCAGTCTTCATCTCTCCAACCATGATGGAATTAGTTTCTTCAACCATGTGCGTCGATCGGTTGGGAGAGGGACATTTCCTCCCACCCCCACCACATTTCAAAGTTGGGGGAACACCATATCAATTGTCCCCACCCCCAACTTTTCACCAATCTTCTATAGTTAAAAACCACACTTTTCAAAAGCGAGTGCAAACAACAATTACCAACAGGCGAAATGTCATGAATTGTCTGTCTGTTGCCTGGGCATTTCCAGACAGAAGACGGGTAGTTAAAAATCATTTTGTTTTCACATTTCTTATCTCATTAACCAATCTATCGATTTTATGGGTTATCAGGTTCAATTTATTGTGAAAACAAAAAAAGGCTACCTTGGCATTAACATTTTTATAAGGACTCAAATTAAAGTGCACGATTTCTACTATAAACGATTTATTCCTTTTCTATGTATAATAAAACCCGTATATAGTATTTAATATCTGTATAGATATATAAACCGAGGGGCGGCCGCGCCGCTCCCCCCCCCCCACCTTTTTGGCAGAAAATATATACCGGTAGGCTTCATAACCGCAAGGGAAAGGCGCAAAATAAATACCCAGTACCAGTACCAGTAGGCCTAATGCCTATGAAGAATTTTGTATGAGCGGAAAGAAATGCAAGAAAAGAAAGAAGGAAGAAGGAGAAGGTGGTGGAGGGGGTGGGGGGAGGAAGAGAGTGTTTACCCAGTCTACGGCCGAGTTACATTGGCGAATCTGGGGGTGGGATCAGGGGTCCTGACCCCCTCCTTTTGGCAAAAAAAAAGAGAAAAAAGCATTCTAGACCTACCTTTCCAGGACTCGTGAGCTGATTTTTTCCCCTTCATCTAGGAATCAAAAATTTCTCGGTGGAGGACGCTCCGACTCTCTTTTATTTTTGGAGTTCATCGATTCTTGGAAAAAAGATTACATATGCAACGTATGTATAGGCCTACCGGTACACACATAATAGGCCTATTTACTGTAAGAATGAGAAAAATTTACCTGACCATTTTCAAGGGGGAAAACCTTGAATTATGAAGAACATGAAAGTCATTAAAAGACACCTCGGAAGTCGGGAAACCTCATTTCCCGCCATCTAGGAATCAACATTTTCCCGGGGGACAACCGAACCCCCATCCCCCATTCCCTTTTGAATTGTTTCAATAAATTTATTTTTTGTTTTACGTCGTGCGGCTTTTATATTCTACAAGCAGTGAACACCGCTTTCGCGACTCGCGAGAAGAATGTCAAACATGCATATACATTTTTATCAGTTCATGTAAATTACATTAAATAGCGCCCTCTATAATTTCGGCCTTAACTGTATAGGAAAATAATAATGTGGGCGGCGCCTGTCAGTTTTAGAGGGGGCCCTTACATTGAGACTTAAAGACAGATAAAAAGCCTAGTGGGATCACATAAGCCTTCTGTACGTACTAATACAGATGTTTATTTATTTTAACTCTGGTAACCCTTTCTGTATTGTATTTGTATTCTGTTTGATTTGCTTTGGTGAACGCAACAATTTTTTTGGTGCCACCATTCCGAAGGTGTATGTTCGAATAAATAAATAAATACAACCATAACTGAAGACTATTTAAGTGTCTATATACAACCACCGGGGGCAGTTGGCACAATAAACAGTCTGCCTGTACCTTGTTGGATAATTTTACTTCGCTGTCCGTTTATTTATCTCTGTGTGGATCATTTCACTCTACAGTATCGAAGACGTTATTAGAAAATTACATTCGGTGCCACAGTAGGCCACACACAAAGGTGCATTCACGTTAACACATAAATTATAAACAACGAATTAAAACGATTAACTAAATTAATTTAAAAAAAAATCCTAGGCCTACACACTTACATATTGTAATTGGCAATAAAATTGTACAAAAAAAAAAGAAGAAAACTACCGGACAGAGAGAGGTGCCTGCAACTAGGTGTCAATCAGGGGAAGTCACAAGAAATATAGCGAACCATTTCTTCCCCTGTAGGCCTATATAAATGGAAACATTTCCACAGTACATTATCATTAAAAAATATAAACAAATTCTAGAAAGAAAAAGGAAAATATAATCAAATTCAAATAAATAATTACTTTACATACGGTAGTATAGATAATTAAATTGGTTTATAATTAAACACAGCCCCCTTTTGGGAGGTTAAAAAAAAAGAAAAAAAAGAAGAAAAAAAGAGAGTAAAAGAAAAAAATGATAGCCCAGAATGCCTCAAATGTTATGTTCGGGCGTCTAGAACACAAAAATTTCGCGGGGGCATGCCCCGGACCCCCTACGACAGTGTTGTCTCAATCGGCCCAACTTTCGCCCCCCCCCCACCCTTTTGGACATTTCTGGATCCGCCCCTGGCTTTTATGGTCGAATTCTGTTTCTTTTGATCAATGCATGTGTTTTGAAGGTTGATATCACTGCCTAGGTTTAATTTCAACTTGAGTGTTGGACTACCTGATATGAAATACAGCCATTGCATAATAGCAGCATGTCATTTTATTCCTCTCAGATAGACTTCTTAAGGTTAGCTAGTAAGCGCAAGTATAGATCTAGCTTTAATTTTAAGGCTTCCCTTTAAGAAATAAATTTATCTAACAAGTAGGGCTCCAGTATGGGTGTAGATTTAAGATGGAACATTTTTACATCACGGGGCGTTCAATTGACGTAGGCCTATACCATTAGTGAAACATTTAACTTTACCATGGGTGCAGATCATGCGGTGGGGGGGGGGGGGGGGGTTGGGGGGGGGGGGGGGGGGGGGGTTAACACGTCCCCCACCTCATATCAATTTTGTTTGGGCTGTTTTTACCACAAAACATTTTTAATAAGAAAGGCAAAAGTATTGAACAGATTGAGCGCGCTGCACGGCGCAGTGTTTGGACATATTCGAAAAGGGTATACCAGTATACAAATTCTACATTAAATACAGTACTTAATAGGCCTACTATAAAAAATACATTCCAAATCTATGCATAACACTGTAGATATAAAAATATGTCCACTATAGCATATTCATTTAATGAAGTCTTTGATACAGCAGGTAAAATATTTTCAGTTCAGAAAATGTAACGCGCCAATTCCCTGGGTTGGCTGTGGGCCTGGGCAGTATTTCTTTTTAAAGCCTTTAAAAGAATGAAAAAATGACGAAAAAAGATTCATACAATCAGATTAATTTTATATATAACTGATCACAAGAAATTTGCTTTCTGTTGCTGCATCAACCTAAGCAATCGGATTAGTGTAGGAGAAAGTTATGATGTTGTAAAGAAACCACTCCTCATAAGCCAGCTCAAATCCCACTGAATACACACTAATATCGCTCATATTTTCGTAATTGAACCCAAAAATGACGGGACGAAATATTGAAAACAAATATTTTGTAATTTTTTTGCAATAAGCTATACTTATAACCTTCTATAAACCGTTCAACCTAATTTCTCACCTCTAATTTTTGAGTTA